TGGACCTGCACATGTTCGCCCTCTAGCGTGTCGTTTATATATTGCGCCTCTGATTACTACGGGTTATGAGTCGCCGACTCGTCATGGAGCTGTGCGCACGTTTTTACGTCGTCGGCAGCGTCCTCTCAAATTTACAATCAATATAAAAAAACATATTTGCAAATTAATAATTACTTTGTTTCCTCCGATGGGAAATAGTGACACTACAGTAGTTGCACAGGGCCTTGTGCTACTTATTTAGTAACACACTAGCTGCGGCGCGGCGCCGGCCCCGGCCCTGGCCACCAGCTGATACTGTAGCAAGATATTATTGTCTTTGGTTGTTGTCATGTTTTTTTAGTATTTACTATGGAATATTTTAAGCTGATAAGTTAGACACTTATTTGGCGATAGATGACCTACAAATGTAGATTAAGACATTCTTGTTGTAAAGATAAAGTTATTATGTTTATATTTTATTTTTTTTTATGTTTAGAGTAATAGGTTTGAGGGAAATGATCAAATTGTATTAGTTTCAAAGTGATTTGTTATAAAATGTTCTTTTTAAATTGTGTTTTTATTCAATTGCTCAACCGTTGTAAAATATGGTAAACACCACTTACAATGGTGAGAATTGTCAAGGTATTTGAACTTTGAATCCCCCAGCATGCAGTTATAAACTTTGTGCTCCACCCCCGAGCCAGCAACTCTGCTCACCGTGCTATTCTACTACAGCTACAAGTATCAACTATGTGAGCTCATACACCACATCCTAAAATAAGGAAGTGAATTATTATTAAGACTTATTAAAAAATTACAGCTTAAGTTTTATTACAAAAAAATACTTGATAATGGACTTAAAATAAAATAATAAAGAGCTTTATCTTATTGAAAGGTGTTTCAAGTGTCATTGGCAATGCTGGCAGTTCTCTCCCTGAGTATGGAAGTTCTCCATGTCACAGATGTGTTGTGCGAGGGCTTCCCGCAGTCCCTCCAAGAACTTTGACAAAGACATAGTGTATGTCGGCTTGACATGCAGTGCAAGAGCAAGGAAAGGTAATCGTCGTAAGGCTCGTGCTGATATGCTTAAGGCCGCAGCTTCATGTGCTATGTTATGGAGTTGGAGACTAGCACTCGTCCCATCCGTCTCTGTTAAACCTCCATCTGCGAGCACCTGAGGTGGAAGCAGTTGCTCGCTAGGAGCTATTAGACCACGCGTCATCAGCTCCTCGCAGCAGCCACGCAGGATCTCGTATGTGGCTCGCTGTGACGGTGGCCCCACTAGGCACTTGATGTCAGCCCGATCAACAAATGCTACATCTATAGCTCCCGTCAAGTTTGATGTGGTTAAGATCAAGACATTTGGATGTCGTTTTAATCTATCTAGTTGTGTCAATATCGCGTTCACCGCTCGAATAGAGTCAGACGGCTCCAGGCCCGCCAGCGCGGCACGCCGTGCGTGCGCCAGGGACTCTACTTCATCTATTAGCACACACGTTAGGGCACGGCGATCCTCGATGATTTCACGTATACGCTCAAATAGTTTGGCAACCAGTTTCCCACTCTCTGAGAACCATTTCGAAAATAAGCCGTGCGCATTAATTTCGAGCAAACGAGCTCTAGAAAATTTGTGAGCAAGACGCACCGCCACTTTCTGGGCGAGCGCCCGACACAAACTAGTTTTGCCCGTCCCCGGTGGCCCATGGAGCAGCACTACTCGGTTCCATCCAACGATGTTATGATCGACACCTCGGTCACTAAATTGAAAAGATGTCTCCACGAACCTTAAAAGATTTTCCTTCAGCTTCGAGTCATATATGAGGCTTTCCCACAAACCATAAAACTCTTCAGTTGGCAGAGTCCATACATCCGCGACAGCAACTTCTTCGCCGGGAGAGTTCTCGCTCAGAGTATCGGTTTCAGCACCAAACGAGTCCAATTTATAGATATGAAATATTAAATCCGTTTCGCTGGTAACCACGTCTAAGTCATGATCTGCACAAAATGTTATAGCTTCAACGTGCTCCACAAGTTTCACCTCTTCTTCCAAGTTGCTACTCCTTAACGTAGTACCAGGTCTCAAATTAGTAAAATTTGCAAGAAAAGTGTGCACCATTTCTTTTAGATCGTTTTTTTTAAGATTACTGTGTCTTTGTTGAACTATTTCTACATGTAATGGGGGACTCATCATGGACGGCAACTTAAAATTAAAAATTAATGAAGTACGACATACAATAAATATAAACGATCGCTCTTTTTCAAATTTCAAAAAGTGAAGTTTTAGCAGTGTTGCCAATGAAAATTTTTGGGATGCAAAAAAAATGCTAGTCCGGTCCGTAGCACCAGTAAAAACTTTTTCGAACTTGCCTGTAGAAATTTTGAGATCTACAATTCCTTAATAAATTCACATTCAAATAGCTTTTGAATAAAACAAATTGTTGATTAATTACGATTTGTACTGAGAATAATGAAATTCAAATAAATTATTTACGATTTTAAAAAAAGGAGGGTGAATTTAAAAAAAGTTAAAACGTTAAAATAGCGACATTTAGCTTCTACAGAAGAGTTTTAATTTTTTTACTGGTATTGCTGGTACTAAGACTTTATGATGATCTTTTCCCATACAAATTACAAACACGGTTTTATTACCCGACGTAGATAGCCAGGTAAAAATTTCCATTGGCAACACTGATGTCAACGTAAATGTCACAAATCGGAACGCGCCAAACGCGGAACGTAAACCGTATATACAAAAACGTATTTAGATTTGTAGTGAAATAAAAAGGCTATAAGCAATAACATTATTTTAAATATCTCTTAGCACAGTGAAATGTAAATATATTAAGGGTGTTTAACTAATACAAATTTGAATCCTATTACAAAATAGTTTATATCTGGCTTTTGTTGCAGGTGTTTTAGTCCAAACTTGAATTTAGTGCAGCGAACAATTGACTTGAATTATGCAAAAAAGAAAAGAGCTACTTCTATTAAGTGGTTCTTTGTAAATGTTATAGTGTTTCTTGTATTTACTTTAGATTTGTAAGTATGTAACATATAACCTAACATAAATCTTCAGTAATAGCCAATCATGCTGATTTTTTATAAAATTTACTTTAAACGATTAGCAATGATCACATTTACATTATTATGAAGTATTTTTCGGGGTCGTAATTTATTTCAAAGAAAAAGACTTTGTTTCATTTTGGTACTTTCCCATGCTAACAGGAACGTTCACACTCACAATTTTTATAAAAATATTATTGTCCTAATAGAAAATTGTCTTATTTACAATATCAACAACACAGAACACACTTGCCCTTTAGTTCGTTTTTATGATTTTATTAATGCTCCAAACATAACTGAACTCGCTCAGTTTGGTTTTAATACAATATGTTTTTATTTACGTTTTTTTTTTCGTCGAAATAATTTTTTGGGAGCCGCAATTTAATTTGGTGAAATAAATAAATAACGTAACAATTTCGAAAATATTTGGTTAAAATAAGATCAAACTATTAAGTTAAAATGTCTGAATTTCTTCAGACCATTCTCTCTTGTTATTGAAATGGTGTGTGTGAATGAAATTACATAGTAATGTAAAAGTATGAAATAATAGTGTAAGTGTCCTTAGTAGTAATTAAATTAAACCTTTACTAAATAAATTAGTTGATCGTTTGGTTTAATGCGCTATTTACACCTGGCCTTTACAGTTGGTCATTAGCACTCAATAGCTGGACTGGCAATTAACTGGCATAGTGTGAACACTAACTGGCACCAGTAAGTCCATATAATCGATGCCTAGCCGGTGCGAATGTGAACTGCGCATGACTGTATGTAATAGTTGAAGCAAATGTTTGTTGAGCGATGGTTAGTGGCGGTGGTGATTGGACACAAGTGTGGTGCAGGACGTGGTCGGGGCCGTGCGCGGGCTCGGCGGCGCGCTACGTGCAGCTGGCGGCGGCGTGCGCGGCGGGCGCGGGCGCGCTGCGGCACGCGCTGCGCCTGCTGCCGCGCGCCGCGCCGCCGCCCGCGCGTCTCTCGCGCCGCCAGCTGCGCCTGCTCGGCCTCGCCCCTGCTGACCTAGGTACACTTCACTGCTGCTTTAATGTTTTTTTACTGGAAATCTAAACCAAACTAGCATTTGTAATACTATTCCTAGGAAAAGTTTATGATTCTAAAGCTGTATATGCAATGTGTTAAATATGTTTTAGCTTCTCAATAATTCTATTGAAAATCTCTGCTTCTGTTAGATTTCTGAATTAGAGAAGTACTGTGTACACTTAAGATATTCTTCAAAGATCTACCAAAGGTAGGGTTCAGCCTTCCCACCCCCTTGAGTATCAAAAAATGTTAAAGGCATATCCTGCTTATACTAGTAATTTGAAAGACATGTTAAATAAAAAAAGTGACTACTGTAAACACATAAATTTGGATGTACGGTCAAATTTAAGTTAGAAATCTGATTTTTTAAATTTCTTTACAAAAAATTTAATAACTTCATAACTATAGAAAATTGAGCAACAAATTTTTTGTTTAAATCAAGGTCTTCAAACTCCACATAACTGGTAATCCGTCCATTAATAATCATGTACAACTACATCGAAGTATTGAAATTTGTCAAGCCGTCGTTATACTGTACTGCAGATTCGTCGCTGGTGCTGTGCGAGGAGGCCGACA